AACGATCTAATACTGGACCAAGATTACAAAATAATGGTAAATAATGTTTTCTTTTTTCTTAAACTAATAACTTCAAATCGAATAATATTCAGTGGAAGATCTGCAAAAAGAAGAAGAAGAAGATCTAAATTCTGATTTCATATCCTTTCGATTATGCCTATCATGTTATTTAACTGTGAGAAATCGATATTCATAAACGATAAACAATATTCTTATTTGCATTTATCTTCCGGATCTTGTCGATCGGTGGGAAAGACATATTCTTGTTAATAAGTTGTACAATGCTTTACATGATTTCTACTCTTTCATGTAGCCAAATCTATTAGAAATCCTTGTATGTTGATAGTTTGACAAAATGCAATTCCTATGTTCTATGGAACTCACATTATATTTTTCGAAGAAAAATATAGGGAGTGCAAGTTCTAAGTCGAGGTTTTGTAGCTTCTTCTTCAGAGGGACCAAGAGAGATGATCAACAAATATTGGTTACGTTTTAACAGTAGCTAAGGCCAACAGGCGTCAGACTCATCTCCTAGCATTCCTTAGCAACGAAAAACGATGTTGACCAGCATTGGCTTAAATTGTTCTAGAATATTCCAAAATCTAGGTGGAAATTTGAATGACTTTTGCGCAGTTACAAATTTATATTCAACATGTCCAAGATGATGAGTAGTGATTTGCCACGGTCGTTATATGATAAACGCGAAAAACATGAACTAATCAAGTTATTACTTTGGGGATATAATCAATATTAGTGTTTATGAACTTATCGAGATATATAATAATGCGATAAGCCGTGCTATAGATATGACTGATCTGTACAACAGACTTATTTACTAGTTCAATAATAAGAAAAACGGAATACGAAAATGAAAAGCAACAAGGAAAATAATAAATAGAGCGTCGGTTAAAAGAAAATTTCTGTCCGAAACACAGAAATAAATAAGACAGATCGTTTCTCTAGCGGTCGATTATTCTTCGAAAACAACTAATGTTAGTACCGCAGAGGATGCGCTGACAAGCTTTTAAAATACTACAAAAACGATCTTCAAGTAGTTAGTCTCAAAATGTTTTATGTAACTTTCATCTAAACTATGAAATTAATTTAATCCATCCTGATATTCTTTTGAGAGAAGATAATACAATTGATAGGTGGTAAAAACTTTTTGTTTTTCAAATTAGTTTCTTTGTTTTTTTTCTAAGAAAAATCTGATTTTAAACATTTGATGAATTTTCTTTAATAGAATCAACATTTTTCGATACATCATCAACATCTAGAAGTAATCCTCGTTCATTAAATCAAACAACTAAAAAAACATCTTCAAATATAACAACTCGTTCAACATCTTCATCAGCTCCAATAAAAACTCCTAAACCAATAACATCTACAGGTACAACAACAACAACAACATGGATTAATTCTAATCGATCTAATCGTGCTATATCATCTTCATCAACAAATAATTCAACAACAATAAATCTACCAAATTGGACACATCCAAAAACTTCTTCATCGCATAATAAAACATCTCATTCAAATCATTATTCATATACGAATTCAATGAATCATCATAGAAATTATCCAAATCATCCTCAATCAACATTATCAGATATAAATCAAACATCACCAAGTAAATCAAATATTTCTAATTCATATCAAATGCCACCAACATCATCATCATCATCATTACTTGTTGCTGCATCATCTTCAACACCACCACCACCACCATCATCAACAACAACAACAACTACTACTACAGGAGAATATAATCCATTTGCTTCAAATATCTTAACAACATCTATTGTTGATGTTCTTACTAAAACAAAAGAACCAACAAATCAATCAGGAATAATTAGTGATGAATCAATAACAAAAATGAATTTTGCTAATGTTGCTAAAATGAATGTACCAAATAAACCATCTCATCAAGAATCAATTCTTATAACAATGAATGAATCAACATCTTCATCATTACAATCAGATCCAAAAATAGCTCCTGGTTATCGTGGTCTATCAACAACAATAACAACAACACCAATTATAATTCCACCAACAAATTTTAATTCATTATCACCAACATCACAAATAAGTCGTGCACCTGGTTCAAATCGTATTCATCAATCAATTTCACCATCATTAACAAAAATTTCTCTTGATCAAAATGGACAAACAGGTTCATCAACAACATCATCAACATCATCATCTCCATCATCATTAAAACAACAAACAAATCATTTTATTCAATCACAACCATTATTTTCAACATTAGATCAACAAAAACCTTTTGGACCTATTGGTTCACATCGTACAACAATATCAACAGATGAAATTTCTCTTCAAATACCATCGAAATTTTCACCTAATCCTCCTCCTCTGCCTTCTTCTATCTATCAACAAACATTACTTAATAATCCATCATATTCAAATCGATCAAGTCTTAATCCAAGTGCACCAGAATTTCAAGGACCATTATCATCAAATATAATGAATATAGCTCGTCTAATGGAACAACAACAACAACAACAACAACAACAACAACAACAACAACAACAACAACAACAACAACAACAACAACAGCAGCAGCAGCAGCAGCAGCAGCAAAAACAACAACAACAGCAACAACAACAAATTTATTCAAATATTCCTCCAACACGTTCATGTCAACAATCAGATATTGAAGCAATTCAACATGTACAAAATCAAGTTGTACATTATTATCATTTACAAACAAATCAACAACAACATCTTGTTCAACAACCACTTCCACCACCACCACAATTACCAACAACATTACAAATAGCAAACATATTAGCATCTAGAGGACAATTACCACAAGATACAAATCAAGCAGCAGCACTTGTTGCAAGTTATTATTACACTAATTTTCTATCAAGAACACAACCAACAAACAATAATATTTCTTTATCACCGAATGTAAATACAAACAGTGATGATATACCATTAACTTCAGGTAAAATTTTTTCTAATGTTTTATTTTAATTAAAAAAGAAAAAAAAATCTTTTTCTTTTTGAAATTTTAGTTGATCCGACTGTTATCATTTCTAATAGTAATCATTCAACCGGTCCTTCATTATCGTCTACAAGTGCCGGTAGTGACCACAAAATGGTACCAGCCGCGATCGGCAGTGAACGTAAACGTCATATGCCAACATCAACCACTGTTGTTCCTCCGATGATCACCAGTGATTGGTCTTCCGTATCTAAACGTAAATTATATGACATACGATTTCTTTTAACTTTATTTTTGAATTTTTAGAACCATATCCTTATCCACAACAACAACAACAACAACAACAACAGACACGCGATTATCCGCGATAGAAAAACACCAAAAAAAAAAAATTTTATACACTTTTCATTGCTTTCTAAATACATGAGTTTCTTTTTTCTTTCTCTTCTCTAACCGATCGTTTATATTTTACCTAATTTTACTTGTTCTTCATACATTTTTCTTTTCTTTTTTTTTGCCGATTATTGCGCAATAAGTTCGTGCATTAGCATGATTAACTTGTTGTGACACTCAGATCTCTTCGTGTATTGAAGACGATATAGCAGCAACTTTCTTTTTCTCGCGTTTTTTTTGTGTCATCCTTTTTTTTTCTCGTTCGTTTCTTTTTCTTTGCGATATACATATTATATATATATAAAGGGAAAAAAAGCTGAAAAAAAAACAATTTTTTATTAATCATACTTTAGCTTGTAAGTGAGATTAGAGTTTATATCAAAATGGAAATATGTATCGAATATATTTATGAATATCAATATTGGACAAAGTTCGATGAAGATATTTTCGTGCATGTATTACGAAATAAAAAAGAGAAAATTACTGAGAAATGAATATAACATCGTTGATATTTAATCGAATATTTCTATGAAGAGATTTAATAAACATGAATGCATAGTAGTGAAGGAATACTTATGGACTGAATTCATATTTAACAATTAATATTGACTATAGGATTTTTTTATAAACATAAAATTATTGTCAATTATTCCGTCTTCTTTTTTTTGTTATATCGGTTACTAATATATATAGCGAACTTCTTTTTATAAGCATAATCAGAGCACTCGAAAATGAAAAGAAATTTGAAAAGATCTTCACTCGTCATTAATTGAAAAGTATTTATCAATAATTAGCAAAACGATTAAGATTCTTTGAGAGTCCGTAATATTTCCCGTGCTTTTTTTTTTACATGGATCAACACTTTCCAATTCTGAGGATCATTAGGGAAACTTCATACAGTTAAAATCGATTCAATTGGATAATATTTCAAAACATATGACATGATTCAAAAATAGTTTTGTTTGAATGCGTATATAAAGACGGATTCCAGATTGATATATTTTCTGGTTGAATTCTTCGAACAACATGTTCCAAACTTCATTTTTCTAATCCAAGTACAACTTGAAGAGCTCTATCTAGTAGTTTAAGCTGTTCTTCTAAATACGAGAGGATGTTTTCAAAAATTCAGTTATATCGATTTTCTCATATTCATAGACGATGTTTATGGACATCTGTATTTTCGTCATAGTTTTGTTTTATACGACCATTTACAGTAAAACAAGGCAGGAAAATGAACCGTATTTTATCGTAATTTCGGTCACTATAGTAGACCTACGCTTTAAGCATACTATACCCCATGTTACTCTTGTCTGGTTCTTTCTTCTTATCCCGTTTTACTTTTTCTTTCTATGAGTAGCATATATTTGCGCACAGCAATGTCAACACATGGTCTTCACTTTTAAAGTAACATCTCTTTCATCTCATCGGAGAAATTTATTTCAAACTAAAAGAAAAAACGAAGAAAGACAATGTTATTTTTGTTGGCTTCGTATATAAAGGCCTGCAATAATTCAAATTGGAAACAAAAAAAAACATCTGAAAGCTCGAAAAAATTTCAATCTTAACCTCGTGTTTTCATCACGAGTGAGCGGAACATCATCACGATCAACAGAGGAATCCTCCGTATTTTATAATAATGCTTCGATTCACTAATGTCGATAATAAACCAACAAGGCTTCCACCTGTCTATGGATATCACACTAATCCACTGCTGCCACTTCAACAAGCTCTTGATCCTATTGTCTCTAAAATAGACCAATTAGATCAATTTATTAAAATTGCAAGGAATGAATGTCATTTTCCTTCGGAACATGGTCTTACTCGTGAAGAATCAGCATCAATCTACCTATATACTATGGATTGGGGTGAACAAAGTCTCTATCGAGTACTCAACGCAGTCATTCGTGAGAAAGATCGATCAGTATTAATACCGTGGCATGGTTATCTCAAACTATGTGATTACTGCATTGAAAAAACTATCTAGTCTTCAAATCAATTTATGGCGTAGCATCAATATTGACATTAGTAAGAATTATAAAGAAAGTGATGAGCTAACTTGGTGGTGTTTTAGTTCATGTTCATCTGCAGTTAAAGTCGTAAAACAATTTCTTGGATCTGTATCAACATTGCTCATGATCGAAGCGAAGAACGGGAAAGCTATATCAGCATATAGTAACTTTCCAGAAGAAAAAGAAGTTATTCTTCCATTGGGCACTCGACTTCGTGTTGTAAGTAATGCACTCGACCATGCCTCATTGAACGTGATACATTTGCAGGAATTAACTGATGAAAATGATCAAGAACTAACCTCATCCTTTGCAAATATGAGTGTCACTACACCAGCGAAGCCTTCACTGGATGAGTAGTTTTTTGTAATGGGCTCAATAGAAGTTGATTGTTGCTTCATAGACTACAAAGAAACATTGCCAAGCAGCAAGTCTTCGACATTTAAAATCTGGACTGACGAAAATGGAAACAAATATGACATTACAGTTCACATATCATATATTGGCAATTTTCGTTATTCAATGTTGATGAATGCTTGTCAAATCTTTCACATTATAAGAGAACAATGACTAAGGAGAATGGAAGAACGAGAAAAAACACGGAAAAGGCACATATTACTATGGCAATGGGCAGAAGTATACAGGTGATTGGATCAATGACCACAGAACAGATCAAGGTGTTTATACTTGGCCCAATGATGATCGATAGGAGAAGCACTATTAACAAATCTCTTCTCCTGATCTATTGTGATGATCGATGTATAGGAACGGATAGTTGATACCATCTATGAACAATTGATGGGACAGTTCAAAGATGACAAGAGTCACGAAAAAGGCACGTATTACTATGGCAATGGTAAAGTCCAAAAAGGAATATGGTCAAATGATACCTTCAATGGATGATATCATCTCTATTCCTTTATCATGTAAGATGGATGTACCTGCCAACTACAATTGTCTACATCTACAACGAGCAAAGTATGTAAGAGGTAAATGAGAATGATGAATCAGTTTTGTGATGTATAAAGAAAATCGATAAATCGATAAATCGATAAATAATGTTTTAAATTCTAATGTGGCAGAGAATAACGTAACAAGTACTGTCATCATGAGTGCAGCGGTCATCGACGAGCGCTGGAAAATAGTTGCAGCAGAAAAGAGGACGGAGGAAAAGTGAAATGTTTGAGCGCATGACTGATAATATAAGAAAGTACAGTCGATGATAGTGAGAGTAAAGAATGGAAAGGAGAACATAGTTGAGAGTGACTTGAAAGTAATTAATTCGATCGTCCTCACCGTCGTTGCCCACATCCCCTACCCATACGTACAACCTCTCTCATTCGACTATATTCGCACACTCTTGCTCATAAAAGTCCTTAAGCCGTAATAAAAATTATTTTATCATACACAAGAAGGACGAAAAGAAAGGAGTAACTCATATTGAATGATTTTATTTTGTTCATTCTTCTTTGCTTCAAATTGTTTTGAGAATTGTGTTTAAACATCAGAAGGAAAGGTAATTTTGCTGTAAAAAAATAGTCTCATTTTTTCTCTTTTCATGTCAATTATCATGTTGACTTAGAAAAGATGAAACTGAGAAATTTCTGAAATTTCGGTCTCCATCTGTATGCAGAAAAATACTCCATTGTGTAAGTTTCATATTCAAATATGAAAGATTGGATACTAATTTGTGACGTGATTGTTGCTGTCACTCTACAGAAATGTATGAGTCAGAAATGTAGAGGCTATTGTTCGAATTCATCTATTTGTCTTTGAATCCAAAACTGTATGAGATAACACTATCAAAACTTCTAGATCAGAATGCTGTTTTGCTCTCATGCAGATGCAGTATAAGATTGTGGAATTCTTTTAGTATCATGTCTTTTAATATAGAATATTAATTAATATTTCAAGAACAACAGTTATACCATTTTGCAATGCAGAAAATTCTCTAACTTTAGACTATTGAACGAAATTTCACAAAAAGCCTGCAGAAACAGAAAGAGGGAACAAACATAGCTCATTTAGTCAGGACTATCCCTTATATGTAATCATGGATAATATACAGAGTAAAGGTGTTTTCACGTCATGACTGCTTCAAAAAAGATTAAAATGCAAAAAAGATCTATTCAATCTCTAATATTTATGATTTATTGATACACATCATATTTTACGTAGTATACTAACTGAGAAAGACTAATAGAAAAAAGATGGTTAGTTCAATGAGTTAATCTATTTGTTTTATATTCAACGCAGGTGATAAGGCAGTATAATCAGTCAGATAGATTTTTCAAAATAAACATAATTGTTCTTATTCTAATTTGTTCTTTTTTTAAGTACTTCGATCCATAGAAAGCAAGACATGACATTCATTACATTTCTAAAATTCTTTTGATAAGAGTTCATTGAATGTTATATTTTAAATGGTTCTTTAAAAACACCGTTTACCATTATTACTGAGTATTTCATACAGTAAATTAATAAAAGCATGGGGTCTGTGAAAATAATCTGACTCGCTCAATATTCAGCTGACAATTGGTGGATTTCATTCATTTCAGTTTCGATTTTTTCAATTCTCTTGGAAGTTTTATTCCACAACAATACAAACTGACTTGTATATTTAATAAAAAAATACATCGTCGCATTAATGCCTGTTTATTGTAAGTAATGATTAGAAGAACATAAATATGGTCTACAATGACATGAAAACAGTTAAACATTTGTTACAAATGTTGTAATAAGAAAAAAATATAGATAAATTATAGTATTGTGTTACACAAATGCAGCCATGATACTTAGTGTATCTTATCTTTTTTATAAAATCATACTGATAATATTTTAATATCGTATTTTATAAGATGGTAAAATGAGTTTTCAACAATTAGAAGTCTTAATACTATTCAACTGAAGTATTTTCATAATTAAGGATCAAAACTGATGTTGAACACTCTAAGTAGGATTGTAGTGTTGATATAAGTATATACCTAAGTGACATTTTTCAAATAAAATCAATACTTTTTTCATTGTCCACTATATCTTGATGGTTTATTTTGATTTAGAAGACATACTATGGTAATCTCCTATATATTTCATGTCATAAATCTAATAAAAAAGTCTGCATATATTTTCAGATATATTATCTTTTTTAAGTTGCTATTAATGACAACTTGATAAATTTTAGTATTATTTCAAATTTGTCGTTTAGATCGAATAATATATTTGCCAAACAAAAAAAAAAGCATAAGATTCAGAGAACGTTAGAATAGTTATTGATTTTACTAAGATACCTGATAAGAGACAAATAATATCTCTCAATAACTTTTTATTTAACGAGAATAGATATAAATCAAATAATTGTCTGGTAAAAAAAAAACGATTATAATATAGATTATAAATCAATTCTCGATAATTTCTACCAATAATAACTTGTTCAAATAACTATCATTAATGATTAATCTTAGATAACAAATTAGGTTATACCTTAAATCTTTTTTGTTCTTTTTATTTCATATCCTGAAATATGCTATATTTATCTCAATTCTATATCCTATTAGTCAGAAACGTATTTTTCTCAATACTTCCCAAAATAATACGATCGCCTTTTTTTGACATTGTCATGTAGCTTCTTTAGTGCTACAAGAATAATACATAAATGATTGTTTTTCTTCCTCAAAAGAAAATGTTAGTAAGTCTTTCATCAGAAACGGTATCGCCCGATATAGTCTCTTGTTTTTTTTTCTTCCTTACCAAAACAAGACAAATCATAGTCTATTCAGTGAGACGTTATTTCTTCTTTCATCACATTTGCCTAACATATAGACAGACACAATAATGCCACTTGGCATCTATCTTGATACTCCTCAAGGTCGTAAACCAGCTACATTACCAACACATTTTAGTTTACATGATTTTCAAACTTTAATACGAAAGAAAGTTGGTAATCCTGAACATTATGATTATTCACTAGGTGGTGTCATTTTTCGTACATGGGACGAAGAAACTTTTAATCGTCAACGAAGTGCTATTCATGATGGTATTAGTCTTACTATAGAATATCCACCTATTATATCAGACAAATCTTCTGAAGATGGTCCTGCTTGGAGACGAGCATCATTTGGTTTATGTCTTGATGGTGTCTGTTTAAATACCAAATGTCAAGCTTTTGAACATAAAGTTATTATGAATAAAGGTATCGGTCAATTTAATGTTATAACTAATTCTACTGTAATTACTTCAAATTGTCCATTGTGTGGGACAACTGTTCAACCGACGACATGTGGATTTAATCAATGTTCATGGCGATTGATAGGCACGAAACGAAACGATTTAAATGCATCGTCATCTTCGTCTAACATAACTACCGAATGGCATGATTCAACAAATGAATATCATCGATGGACAGATAATTTTTCAACATGGTCACAATTGACCATTGAAACTAAGAAATAGATTTATTATTTTATAATTTTTTTTTTTCAAGACTACAATGAAGAAAGAAAACAACAAACTTGACTGTTACCATAAAGACAGTAGGCAATTTACATGTGCAAATAAACACTTTTATGTCTTACAAAAAAAAAAAAAGAATAGTCAATAACTTGTTGTTGTCTCTCTTCCATTTTATGTGCAACCATATAAAAGATCCTCTATATAATAAAAATAACATATTGTGGTTTTTTCTCTTCTCTCGGAAAACATTTGTAACTAATTGATGCTTTCCACTCGAAATAATTTTGACGCCATTCTCAAGAGATACGCAGCTGGATATAAGCCACAGATGTATAATTATTTAGTAATATATCTACAATATGTTGTGTTTCTAAATAAAGATCTTATGTGTTTTCATGTTTAGATTATATTATGAAGAGAAACTTTCATCATATATTTTAATAGATATTCATTTTTAATATAACTATACAAATTATTAATCGATACAACTAAATATTTTCTATAATTTGAGTTAAAGTACATCAATAAC